TCCAATCTGCTTGTGAGCTGAGTACCTAGCTTAGAAAAGAGATCGATATTTGTCTGAGCATCTACAAGCATGGGAAAATCTTATTTATTACTGAAACCCAAGACAATGTATGACCTAGGAAGTTTAAATGAGGTCTTTTGTTGAATTCCAGCAGTAATGCTTGTGCAGTCTTCTGATGCAGTCACTTTGAGTCGGCAACAAAGTATTTGCTCAAGTGCATTCCAGTCTGATAGTTCGGGCGGATAATGGATGCGAAATCAAACAAAGGACCGTATATTTTGAGCGGTTGAGTTAACCAAAAGAGTTTGCTCAAATGTTGGTGTTTTTCTTACCCAGATCCGATTTTATACCAACGTTTTTCTTGTTTTGCGATCCCAGGCAGCTAGATCCCGCAGTCCGTAAATGAGTATCGTTTACTAGCCACATTCCACACTGCTGAGACAGTCTTCCATCAGTGAGCAGTCAATTATAAAACCCCAGCTTTATTCCAGTAGCATTTTCTAATGTCAGTCAAAATTTTGTTCGGCAGTGGAAGTTTCTGAAGTTTCTGGAGTTTCTGAAAGCACTGTGCAGCCGTATCAACCTTACAAGGAAACATCAGTAGTGCGCATTTCATGAATTTCTAGGATGATCTGAACGCTTACTAGCTAGACCGCTCACGAGCGAGCGGTCAGTACCAATAACTCAGACAGAATACAGAGCTACACCAATCACGGAATGTACACGTGGTCACGACTTGTGGGCTACTAATTTTTAATGTTTACTGCCTCAACTTTCCATCCAGAGTGTTGGGACCAATCAAAAGCTAAAACTGTCATCCGATTTGAAGCTACTTGTTAACTACGACTATGCTACCCAGTCCACCAGCCAAGTTATCCTTGTGTACGCACAACGAAACCTGTCACGCTGGTATGCCTGCGTTAACCATATGTTGTTCAGACGTTAAGGTAGACAGAGGTTTTCGGTTACCGAAACTGTAGCAGTTATTATGCGGTTTATTACCAAAAAAGTTGACAGCTGATGGCGATAGAGATTATAAGCATTATTCACCCAAAGATCAAAGGGTCGTTGTGCGAAGCTATTGTGTACAAACGCAAGACAATCATAAGGTTTAGCAGGGATGTAGGCCACACCGTCCTTAGAATGTAGTAGTTTATGCGGGCAGGGGTTGTCTAGTTTCATTCGGTTAACTCGGTCGAGTTGGATGCCTATCCACTAGAACATACAGGGTTATTGGTCTAGGCAACTACTAGTGTAACGATGATACTACTGATCGGGAGGCACGCGAGTAGTATATGTTGTTCGTGGAATTTTGCTTTGCGTCGATTGAAAAAAGGAATTCTGTTGTGGAATTCGCGGGGCCACTTTGTAACATTTGCTTTTATTTGACCGACGAATGATTGGAGGCAATGAATCTCCAGCAAGACTCGTTCGGGAGAAGATCTGTGTCCAATTTTTGTAACTAAGATGCAGACTAGAGTTTTGCTTCTTGTTCAATGGTCTGTAACCGGTCAGTTGGCATTTCCGAATAAATAACTCCGCAGCGAAGGCATTCGTCCTTTCACTAGTATGAAAAAGCGATATGACTGTGGATAAAGCTCAGACTTTTATGGTTAGACCACTGTCGATTCTCATATTCACAAAACAGCCTCCATGAGTTCCGCAGCGAAGCATTCGTCCTTTCACTAGTATGAAAAAGCGATATGACTGTGGATAAAGCTCAGACTTTTATGGTTAGACCACTGTCGATTCTCATATTCACAAAACAGCCTCCATGAGTTGTGACACTGATTGAGCAAAAATGAATGTAATGATATTTCCCCAAAGAGAGGCCGAATAGTTTTAATAGATTTCTCATCCTGGTGGCCTGTCTGAGGAATACACTCATCTATACACTGACGTTTAAGGGGGGAATCAGCTGAATCCTAGTTAAACCTTTCGTTTGAGATACTCTTATTCGATTAAATTCGTTGCACAATAGTGCCCCATGTCTAACTTAGTAAGATATTCGAGACGTCGCACCAAATGTTTTTGTGTAACACACTTCATAGTGGCCCTGAAAACTCTCCGGCAATCCAACGCCAGTTTCACCCTTTTTAGAGCCACCAGATAGACATATTTCTCAATTTTCTGTTTGTTCAAATTTATGTTCTACTCGGACCCAAATAGTATGAAATTTGCAGAGGCTCCGTTATGTTTTAAATTGCATAGTACCCCAGGTATCCCCATACACAGTTTGGACGTAAGTTACTACTCAAGAGGTCAAAAAGATTTCAGCAAACATACTCTTGGAAGGCAACCTAAAGTATCGGAAAAATGTAACTTTCCCGATAAAAACCACTTCTGATCGAAATTTACCTGTTTAGATTGCACTTAAAAGACTAATCATAAGCCAGATTCGAAAGCACTGGTTGTGTACGGACAGCCATCTAACTATTTCCGATCTATGCTGGCATGCCACTAGCATGATCAAGTGGAAGAATCGTTGCCCAGTCTGATACTGAAGGACGCCTGACGAGTGCGGCGTTTGTTCACAGTTTGCTACTTTTCCAATTTAATTTTTTTTCACGTTTTCTTTGGAGTTCGATAAAATTGCTGAATTCGTTTGCAAATGATTTCGAAGCCAGTCCTTCAGGATGTTGTTGAGCGTTGAGAATTTGTGAGGAAGCCTGGTAACACAAGGTGCTGTACTGTGGGGGCCTACTTTGCAAAACTACTAAACAATAGAATATAATAGAGTGGTAATACCGGGCATGCGAACACAACTAACACAGGTTCAAACTCAGCATCGCAACAAACGATCCTGGTATGACCGGCACAGGTACACCGTCTGAACTGATATCTATCGCAGTTTTTTCACAATATACACCAATGATCCATTATATGGTACTAAAAGATTGCAATACACCTGAATGGAAACTATGATTCAGTAGCGCGACTGAAACGAGCTGTGCATGCCATGCAGACAGCATTACCCATTAGCTTCCCGCCACCTGGTATGTCCAACAGAACTAAGTGGATATATATTCCGATGGATATTTCCCTAGTTGGTAGCGTAATCGCTGTTCCGAAACAACCATCTACGAATACTTTTCACAGTACTTGACTTAGTGATGAAAATTGGACTTTGTCTTCAATTTTCACAGCTACAGTCGTTCATATAGGAGTCATAAATGGTTTCAATCATGTGTTACTCTTTTCAGACAAGCAGTTGACCCTTGCCGAGTAACCATTTCCAGTTAGACTCAATGTTAATTATCCCTTTTGGGAATTGATACCTATTCACCAGTGAGTGCGGAGTAGACCGATTGGTTCCAGCAGAGTTCAAAAACTGAAAACAGATGTCACATCGAGATGAAAGTCTCCAGCTGCTCTAGCCAAAACTTCTACAAGAGAGCCACAAGTCAGATCGCTTTATAGTCACCTGATGAGACCTAATAATGTCGGAAACCTTGTGCCTGAGGTTCTTTGGGGGTCCCACTGCACATACGTTATATGACTGGGTTTCGCATAGTGTTGACGTTGTCAATGCTTCTTTTCGATTCTAGCATGGGTAGATTTTGTGATCCAGTAGTTGAGAATTTGGCCGGTAGATGAAATCAGTCTGCATTGAAGGGTCCACTAGCATAATGTGGCCACTTTCTCCAGCACAGCATATCTCAGGAATGCCCGGAGTGTTTCCGAATGTCAGCCCTGTGTACACGACAGGCAGCTCAGTAGCCAAAGTTCACTCAAGGAGTTGACGCAACATTATATGGTCTTGTGTTGCGCGACAACTTTCCAGATGAAAGATTGGCTCTCTCTCTGTTTATAGCGTAATAGTGTAGTTACGCACTCGTACTGGATGCTAATTTCTGTGACGGAAGGATGGTTGGTATGTAATTCTTCCATGACCAAGTTAGTCACACTGCTCATCAGTCGCTCGCGGCTGAGTTACCTGATCCTGGTTGCAAGCTCGAAACCTTCTTTATCCCCATAGGTGCTCACTGCTGATGAAATTCTATAAGGATGGAAAGTCTGGCTCTTCAGCATAGGATGGATCCATAGACGAGGAAAAATCCAGATTAGAAGACATTCAGTTCCGATTAATTTTGCTTTTTTAATCGAGAGATTACTCAAACCGTTGTAATTATGCATGTTATGATGAGAAACGTGGGTATTTGCTTAGGAAGAGTCTGCTTACTTTTAATTACAATGCTCTGATCACAGGAGGCATCCTCACTATTGTAGTAAACTGTCGATTACAATAATGATAAACACAGCAATTTGTTACTGTTTACTTTGCTCTACATGCAGTCACGCTACTTCATACGAAGAGGGCTGTTCACAAACGGGCTACCCAAATTTCTGTCTGTTTTCTTCGCAAAGATGGTATTTGTCCTTTGGATGCCAAATTATAGATAATTTCCAGATTTTCACTAATGTCGTATAATATTGAGTTGAGCAGGACGGTCGAATTAATAAACCGCGTATCGTTTCCTAATCCAACTGATACTTCACCATGGAGGAAAGCATTTTAAACTTACTTCTCTTCTGGGGCCCGGAGAAAAGCAAATTTCACTTTTTCTGGTCTGTATCAATTTCGGCAAACTGACAAATAATCAGTGGAGACACCAGTTTTTTTTACCAATAATTCCACCCGTTGTCATTAGATGCTGGACTATTGTCTATTTCGGTGTCATTTCAACGTCGCAGCTGACTGCTTTCTCAATGATTCAGTTCTGTCAGCCTCTTGCAGTCAGTTGTAACCTCTTTGTCCGCAAACTTCATTGAATTCGTGATACACAATGTGAACAGTTTATTCCAGAGGCAGTGTACATCATTCATATATGAGAAGAGTACAGAAGACTTGATTAATACATCATAGCAAATTTAGCTCCAGTGGTTTTTCTGAGGAAGTGAATGGAATAGATGCTGTGGAAACAACCTAATCCCATTCCGCTGAGTACACATTCGAAGAAACTCAGCCATGTATTGAAAAACAAAGTCGTGGTACTTACCGTACCGACCGCACGTTTGCTTGCCCAATAAATTTCGATTTGATTGAAATGAACTGACTGCAACCAGCAGGCAATTATTTTTGGCCCCCTGTAGACCCTCTTAAGAAAAAGAAAGAAAGCGTTCAGCTGTAGCACCCTTCCGGTGCCTTACTGCCATGCCACCCGAAGGAAGCACGAGGGTAGGATACTGCCAGGTTGCCCAAGCCTAGACAGGGGAAGTCGAGTGGTGGAGGTCGGATTCGAACCACGAACCTTCCGGTCAGTAAATTCGCGCTCTAACCACTTGGGCCATCTCGCCCCTCTTACTTAAGCCCGAAGCTTACTTGGAAAACGTTTAGAGAGCTGCCAACTTTGGTGATCTCGGATAGGCTGGGGTCGGGCATTTCAAGCAGAGCAACTACACACAATCCGTATTCGTCTTTATTTCCGACGACAAAAGACGGCAAAAGACAGTATCGTTCCAATTAGCTCTAAATAGGTTTAGTAACCAAGTGCATGTTTTCGTCCATCGCATGGAGTTTTTGGTTGTCAGGCTTTGGACACACAGTATGCCTAGTATATATTACTACTTAGCTCATCACCTTAGTATCTGTACATTTTTTACTGTGAACGGACAAGTCCGTTAGTATAACTTCATGCAAACTAGACAGAATGCGAAAAATGGCTTACTTGTCCTAAAAAACTATAAAAGCTAATTAATGTGTCGATGTTCAGTTGGGTTGCCCGCCGATGCGTTGTAAAAATTATGCTTCATTTTGAGCACAAAATTCGATATAGGACAGACATGTCGGTATAATCGCTGAATAAATTTGACCACCTCGTAAATGATGTTTCATTCAAAATGCTTTATGAATGTCTATGAACGGAAGCATTCCGACAGTTACATCATCAAGTTTGAAGTTTTTAACGTTTGCTGAAATTTCGGATGATCTCTGTTCACAAACTCACTGTGCAGTTCTCAAATTTCTACCCGAGAAACGCACACGACCCACATACTTGTGGGACTTACGCAAGTGTTTGGTAGACATAAACAAATAGACGGCAGAGAAGTATATGCCTATTTATTGTAACTCAAGATCCATTCTAAAATGTGCATATATTATTGGAGAAATGTGAAAGAGAGAAATCGATCATACGCTACAAGGATATTTTGAGATAGTAGATATATCCTGTCTTAATAGGTGGTTATTGGTCCGAATACCAGGACCTGATATTTCGTAGATGGGGGGAAAGCAATATCAAACAAGCTAGTATCAGTCAAGTTAATAACGTAGCTTTTCTTGCGGGAAAGCGTCACACTCAGTAGCTGTACGTGACAGACCATACACATAATTAGGCGTATCAACCGCGCGAAAGTTCAAATTAGGCAAAAAGTTGAAGAGTTGTAAGGAAAAGTGTGTGAGCATAATCGAAGGATCATTAATGCATCAACAGATCGACATAAATATCAAGCGACATCCAAAGTTTTGACGCTGGCTAGGCACGCCGCACGGACTAGGCAGGGTGTAGATTCGACAAATTTGGAAGGATTGAGGTGCGAACCTGGCATGTACGTCCAGAGTATCCCAGTGTGAAACGAATGTAAGAGGCGATTTTACGTCATCCGAAATGATATGTTGCAGTCAGAGAACATCAGCAAGAACAGCATCGGTTTTCGTCCATAGTGGAAAGCCTAAACAGACCAAAATCTTTGGAAACTGCACTTAACTATTGACAGCGTACACAGCCGACGGGATCTTAGGAGGGCATCCAAATGTAGTCATCAATTATAGCATCCCGAGCCATGATAACAAGACCCCAAATGCGACCAAAATTCATGTATTTTGCACAGATTTATTCATTCTCATCTCTAATGGAACCAAACAGGTGACTAGTGGGTTGCGTACGCCAGCAAAGTCATGTTTTTCAAGTACACAACTGGATGAATGCGGAAACCGATCATCTGTATGCTTTACTAAATCATATTGACCCAGGACGTTGCGTGCTTATACTGTCACCGGGGTGACTCAATCAGACAGGGGTGGCGCTAATCAGCTGCAAAGTATGGTTTCACAAAGAATACGGAGAGCGGTGTTTTTTTGTTACTCATTCATTACAGCAAGCGCCAGGTAAATTTGACGTATATGTTTCCAGTTAACCCCGCCCCATCACGCTTCAGGTCATCTATTTCTTACAACCCACTTCACTACTCCAATCCCCTCCTCTAACTTATAATAGCTCGGATAATATTGATCACATAGACTGCCACAAAAATTTTAAATAGAATTGGATATTCCCATTGTGCTGTGATAATCTGAACCATGAGATTGAAATCAACTCCGTTTCCTACTTATTTTTTTGTCACTCATTCATTACAGCAAGCGCCAGGTAAATTTGACGTATATGTTTCCAGTTAACCCCGCCCCATCACGCTTCAGGTCATCTATTTCTTACAACCCACTTCACTACTCCAATCCCCTCCTCTAACTTATAATAGCTCGGATAATATTGATCACATAGACTGCCACAAAAATTTTAAATAGAATTGGATATTCCCATTGTGCTGTGATAATCTGAACCATGAGATTGAAATCAACTCCGTTTCCTACTTAGACCTCTTCAACACTTTGTCTCGCATATTTTCGCAAAAGCATTCAACAATATCCTGGTTTTTTACCGTGGGCTTAGTTTACCAGACCATTTTTCTAACTCTTTAGCGTCAACGATCTGCTTAGCCGCGTCGCTGTCTTCTGCGACATCATTCATCTGAAGATTGAAAATGTGCTGGCATATACTGGCTATACATTGATGCCCGATAATATAAAACAAAACATACAGAGCTACTGTGATCACCGATGTTGATCCAATGGATCCGAAATTGTGAGCTTCCTCAGTGTTGTAAAATCAGGAATATCAGGCAAAATCAAACCATAAGAACTAAGTGTAAGGCCACCTGAGCAGGTAAATTTCCGTCCCGTGCCAGCTCAAGGAATTTAGTGACCCGCTGGTCTGGTCTCCGAATTTTTTTCCACTCACATATTGAACTAGAAGTCTACAACAATCACCGATACCGCCTTCTTTTTTTCTTGATATCACATCTGTTGTACTGTACTCAAACAATCCTTCATAATTCAGCTGGATCATTAATTAATTTGCCAGAGAATTTGTCTTAAATAGTATATACTACTTATCCTGTCACTTAGTATAAACTGACGTCCAACCACCCGTTCTTCACAGCCAATGGCCCATTGTATCAACCAATCTTAGCAGTGTAAACGCGGGATTTACTCAAAGCCCCTTTCAGTCCCCTGTTTACTTGAATGATGTCTCCGAGTGAGTTCCAAGTTTCAAGTAAATTCCACATAAGAACCCAAGCATACATAATGCAAACCAACCGATAGACGCAGTTGTGTATAGCTACACTTATTGACGCGATAAATTATTTATTGGCTGTCATTGTGGGTGGTGCCTAAAAAATTGCCATGAATCACTATGGAACCTTCTCGGCAATATGCCTCGTGAAGAAGTGTCCACCGTAAACGAATTCGTCCGCTGAATAAGATGTTTTGGCATAGATTCTAGCTAGATGGCTTTCGTTTTCTTCTATGAGGTGTGTGCAGTCAAGTGGAGGTCAGCTTTTTGACCCGTAATAGCATATCTTCTTGGCAAAGAATATCTTAAATGATCTCATTAGCACAAGACCAAGGGCTGGGCATTTGTGTGTTCATAAGTGAATGGATCATACACGATGAACAAATGTACTACAAATTTTGTGTAAAAGTAAACATTCAATTACGAACTAAATTGGTATAGACGGGACATTTAGTGCAATTTCACCCGAGTCTCCCTCTCCTTTCATACGCTCAAACTTAGTCTGTAGTTAAAATGCCGCCTCATGATTTGTTAGGAAAGATTTTCAATGTGTCAAAAGATTTTGACATAGGTATATACATACATATATGTTCCTCTTACTGAACTCTGTCACTGACTTATTTTCGGACGCTTTGTGCTTCTCCAATAATATTGCCCATTTTGAGCAGTCCGCTTCATGTAAAAGCATACAACTAATCAGTCTTCTTCGTTCGAGAACGGATCGCGCACCGAACTGCTCAGAAAACTTAAATGGTAATCTTCATAAACGAAACTACTCACAAGGTTGCTGAAAACTCTTTGACAGCCCACGACCGGTTTCGCCCTTCTTGGGGCTCATCAGGTAGGCGCAGTCCCCGAGTTTCCGTCAACCTGATGATCTACTTGAACCCAAATTGCACTGTTTTTCGAGAAATACACTCATCTGCAAATCAATTTGGTTTTCACGGGAGACTCAATTGAATCTCTCGTTTATGATGTTCTCCAGCTGAATGTGCTGCACACAGGCCGCCTCATGATTCAGTTGGCACGATATTCGAGATATCGAAGTGTATTATCATAAAGGTATGTCACTGTCTGTTCACCTGTAAATAATAAAAAATCGATTCAGCTGCAGCACCCTTTCGGTGCCTGGCTGCCATGCCACCCGAAAGAAGCATGGAACTGAGACACTGTCAGGTCGTTCAGGCCTATGCAGGGGATGTTGAGAGGCAGAGGTCAAGCTGGAACAACGGTTCTTCCTGTCAGTAAGTCCACGCTTTAACGACTGAGCTATCTTGCCTTTTTAATGCTTTCAGAGCTCGTCAGTTGGGGCAGATACGACGAATAGATACAGATGAGTGTATTTCTCGAAAACAGTGCAATTTGGGTTCAAGTAGATCATAAGGTTGACGGAAACTCGGGGACTGCGCCTACCTGATGAGCCCCAAGAAGGGCGAAACCGGTCGTGGGCTGTCAAAGAGTTTTCAGCAACCTTGTGAGTAGTCTCCTTTATGAAAATATATTTCGATATCTCGAATATCGTGCCAACTGAATCATGAGGCGGCCTGTGTGCAGCACATTCAGCTGGAGAACATCATAAACGAGAGATTCAATTAAATGGTAATCAACTACACTGTTTCGTTCGGCCTGTTACCACGTGCATGTAAAAGTGACAGTGCAACCGTCCCTAATTATATCAAATGAGAGTAAAAATAAGCTTTGCCAACACAAAAATATCATAGAAAAACGGCAGGATACGTTGCCCAAGGGTTTTCCTATTCTTGAATCAGGAGATCTATTCTTGGCAAGAAAGAACCACACAAAACGCATCAGTGAATCAATCAAAATCGGCTTTCCCTGAGTAGCGTCTCCCACACGATTTGGGGGTGAGGATATCAGAGGATTTGTTTAGATCTGAAAAATAGTTCCCTAGCTTTTTTTCTTTGAAAAAATTGTTAAAATCGAGTTAAAATCCGCGGCTTATTTGGGAAACCGTTCCGAATTGGTAAACCTGGTTCTAAATCCAAATTTATGTTTCAATAGACCCAGCAACCATTGTGTCAAAGTGAACCGCAATGTTGGCAAAATCCATGCAGCTCTACATAGGCTGGCGTGAGAACTCACAAACAATTCGGATAAGAAATAAAAAAACTCAGCAAGGCGGAGAAAATGGATCCCGACTTTGTTTCGCAGGAGTTCGAAAAGGGATTGACTCAATACTGCTGGACAACGTTTCGTTTTTGACAATTAACACTTACAGGTCTGGCGAGTAGGTTTCAAGCCTGATCTGGTTTTAGGGTGAAAGTAAAGCCATATCCATTCGCAAACCTACATGTGTTTGAGAAGTGACTCAAATGAATTCATCTAAATCTATCGTTTGCGGTGTTTTTTTCTGAATTAATCGTATTGACCTAAGCAACATATATCTCAAATGGAACGATATCCGATGTCTTGTACAATACTTCCTTAGGAAACATACCACTGACAAGGATGCTGAAAAAATTGATCGATTTTCTTCTTCTTCGAATTCATAGGATATGTACAGTCTTCGAGTTTTCATCAATGTCATATTCTACTTGAACACAGGTTGTAGGCGATCCGCAAAACAGACTCATTTGAAAGTCAGTATAACTAAAAAAGTAGACTCAACGAAATCCAGCAAAATCTCTCGTTTACAAAGTTCTTGTTCTGTGAATCAAATGAACCAAAATAAGGGTTAAGCAGTTCGTGAGCTCTCACTGATTCTGCAGTTAACTTATGAGTAGTATGTCCAATCAGTCACCAAGATCTTCCACTAGGATGTAGTAATTCCTGTACACTCCGTATTAAGTAAACTGCACTACGGCAGTTGCGTGAGATGAGAGATTCGTAAATCGAATTTGCGCTCACTGTGCGGTGCAAGGTTTAGGGCCTCCATACGCACGTCTATTATTTTCACACCAACTTGACTACTTCTACTGCTTCGGACATCAGCCGACGTGGCGTGAATCTTATTTCCTTCGTCACACTTCCACACTTCCAGACCTATCTTATGCCCTATTTCAACTGCGTGTCCAATTATCATCGAAAGATTTGCAACCGCCAGCATTTCTTGGTCGTTTGGTTATTTTATCCATGTTCCATAACCGTCTGTCTTTTGTAGATTTTGATACAGGCCATTGACTTAGTTTTATCTACGTACTCCCTGTTCCTTCCGATCGCAAGGTAATATTTCAAAGGCGTCAGCAGTGGACATAGTGCTCTCCACTTTTCTGAGTACTACTGTAATGGTGTATGTTTGGCACCTTCCGGATGACTACAGATGTTTGCTCTCTACGGGGAATGGCATCTTCATCAACCTCTTACTAACCGGGCCTTGGTACCGAAGACAACACCCATCTTAACATAGACCGCTTTGTAATTAATTTGGTGTCTAAACTAACTTTGAATGGCTTTTCGGTCTGTCTCTCCCGTACCAAGCGCTCCGAATAGACTAATTAGTGATGAGAGAGTGTGAACGCGTGAACCGATTGGAGTCGGAGGAATGCCTTAAAACGTAGAGTGTATCTTCCGGTTTCTAGTGAATTACAGTCCACTACCACCGCCCAATTCTGCCTTCGTGTTAAAATTTGTTTGTGGCATTCCTCAAGTCCGTCAGTTGCATAAAAGTTCCTGTGAATAAATTCGCACCATCAAGTTTTTTTAATGAAATGTGCCATGCAACGCTGTTTATATTGCTTTTTGGGAATATTCAGTGACGTATATTTCAAAGATTTCGAGGCATTCGAACACATTACCCTTAACATGATACAAGATGCGGCGTCACCGTCATACAAACGTACATTAAAACTCACACCATCATCTTTTCACGGGATTATCCCATAAGAATTAAACAGCTGTGTAGTTTTTCTGGGCCTTGTGGTAACCAATGCTGGGCTGCATTTGCAAACAAAAGTTCTCAGTGAAGCCATTCAGAGATATCAACAATTGCTTCACCAAATCAGTACCTCGTTAGATGAAAAACAAGCCCCTAACAACCTGATCAATACAAACTTACCAATCTTTGTCAACCGTGTAATGGCATGAACGTTAAAAAAATTTCGCACTGATATGCACATTATCAGAATAAATGGATATGTTGGACTCTACATCAAATTGACTTGGAGCTATCCCAGTCGTAATTCGAAACTTTTTCATAGCACCGAATGACTGGTTTTCAAATGAATGTCAAGTGGCACTTAACTGTTTAGCTTCAATTGTTTACTTTCACTTAAAATTGAATTAGGTCTTGCCTTTAAATGACGCCAAATAGCATGCGAGCCGAATTCTCTGCTTCCAAAAGGTCTATTTTATTTTTCGTTTGGCCAGAAATCAATCAAAGTTAAGACCTTACTTATCCTAATTGGAACTGCGGAAGTCAGCTTGGTTACCTGGTATTACTTTAGCAACGCTTGCAGTGTGGCAGCTAACTTGACGTCATCAACAATGCTCGATTGCTAGACGCCGCAAATTCGGACCTAAAGTATGCTCTAAAGAGCCAGAATGTAGTGGAAGATCTGAGGACCAATTACAATTGGTTGAGTCGTTCACCCCTTTTAAACATCTAGAGGTTTGAACGAAAAATTATCAGGTAGAGAGGGGGCGGACTCCAGCATTTAGCTCCTTAATCAGTAGTGTTATTAAAGTGCATTTCAGTTGGACAAGGCACAACTAATCCTCCGATCATGAGGTTAAAGTAAATTCGAATTATTTTAATGTGATGAGAACAAGCGTCATGATTACCCCTTACTGTTGATAATCGAGCTCCTCAGCAACTTTCTCCGAAAGGCGATTGTGTATATTAGTCATATCGCCTCTTTGTGGCAAAAATAACTCATATCATGACTTGTTTGAGTAGCTTTTTGTTTGAATGCAAACTTTGTGGTGCGTCTACACATCTATCCATTAGACGGTCGTGTCTACCCTGTACGACTAAATCCGAAAAAAGCGATATTAGCATCTGCTCAATTCCTTTTGTTCGCAAACTCTGGTCAACCTTAATGCTCATCTAGATTCGTGCTTGATTGGAGTGGAGCGGATAAAGTGTAAATCACTAACCGAAAACATCTATCTGTCTTGGCACACGCACTGTAATGCAGTAGGTTGTGCAGTAGCCGTAACAAATGATCGGCAATGGAGAAAAAAACGCTCTGAAAAAGATGGACTTGAAGTGTATTTGTGGATTTTAAGTGACTCACTACTGCGTATAGTGCAAGATAACTGAGGCAGACCGAACCACAGCGTTTAGTGTATTGGACAATATCTTAACCTTGGTGATATTGGATTGTATGCAACTAAGCCATCTAACCGGATCGCCTGACTTTTTCTGACTTCTCCCTAAATGCAGGCAATTCTTACAAATACGTCAAAGAAATACTGTCTTACTCAACGATTACTTCATGGAATAAAAGCATGTCTTTATTGGTAATCTGCAATCACGAGCCCTGGGCTGAAACAGTTAACATTGAAGGAAAGCTGACAGGTTTATCAGTGTAGTCAGGGACTAGTTACCTGCCGTGTGTTCCTGGGCGAGATAAAAACCAAGCTTTGACAGATCCATTCTTCTTGGACAATACTCCGTTTATCTTGGCAACTTCAAAGTTGAAATTTATAAATGCTTTAAAATTTAGCTATTGGTAACCCTAAAACTGATTATGTTCACTGGATGATCTTGGCACCTAGGGGTGGAAACGTCTGTCGAAAACGGTACCTACACCGTGAACTTATTGTGTCTACTTTGAGTTGGGTTTAAGGTTTATGCAAAGGTATCATGTGTTACTTGGCTGCATGTGCTAGCTAAACGCTGTGGTGGTCGTATCATACCAAACAAGGAGCACCTCCAAATTGCCGCTCGCACTGTTGCAGCCCTGTTTGCTCGTCTATCGAGCAATCAAACCGATACACTGCACAACACACCATGACAACCCCATAGCCTGGTACTTCGAACGGCATTGGGCTGGATTAGACGATGAAGATACACGACCCAGCCGGGCTAATGGTTTTTTCAGTGCTCTGTTTTCATATCCTCACGAATTTTCGGGCTCGTGAATTCATAGGGCTTCATGTGTTGGGGATTACTGACTAATATTTGCAAGAAAAAGCTGTAAAGCTGTAATTCTGTTTTTTAAACAGCTTTGCACAAACGATGGTCTTATTTGTT